TCTCCAAGATTTCCATACTAACAAAAATGAGGATAGTGAAATCCCATTTGATCAATTCAAAATTGACTTAATTGAAAAATTACTAAATCCCCAGGTACTATGAACTATTAACATAAAATACCTAAAAGTTCTTCCAGGTCACCTAGGGACAAGCTCCAGCACTACCCAACTCCTTGTGTGAAGAACAGGCAGCTTTGTACTAGGAATGAGAAGAACAGCACTCTACCTCTGCCTCTGCTCAGAGAAGGGGGGAAAAAAGTTCATGACCTATCCCTTGTCTTCTAAGGAACTGTCAGAATTGCACAGCTGCACGTCCACCAAGAAATGACGCTCAGTGGGTGAGGTCTAGATATATACTAACTCACAGATGCTATATGGTCATAAATTTTCTCTCTACTTTTGAGGTATGTTCTTTATCTCCTCCTTCTTATGTTTCCAAGACATATTTTTAGGGAAAGTACCACAAAAGAGAGACACTGTGGAATAAATTAATTGAGATGCTGAATAGAACCAAACTGTCCCTTGGATGTTGTTATCATCCACAGAGAACCATTATAGCATGGTTCAGGAAAAAGAGAATCATTCATCTTGCCTCTAAGCAAGCCTCATTGAACAATATTCTTTCCCTCTCTAGGGAAAAGCTTTCCTTCTGTAAACTAAGTGTTGGGCTACATGACCTCAAGAGCTCACTTAAGCTCTATGATCACACTGGGTCTGTGATTCACCCCATAACCACCTCTGACCTGCTCACATCTATTCTTCTAAAACTATTTCCTATTACATACATTATAAAATGATTAGAAATTTTAGTTTCAAACACTGAGGTAGTTTCATTGCATAACTCTGTGTGGTATCACAAATGTATATTTTTATGTTATAAAATTTATTTAAAAAATTACTCCCAATCCCACTGTAGCCAGAAGTTGCTATGGCTATCTCCCCCAAACCCCTGCCCCACCCCACACACTGTCTATTCCTCCTCTTACTATGAGTCCTTGGGCATGAAGAGGGAAAACTAGGTATTAAGTACAGGTGATTTCCTCATCTACCATTCCCCTTTGAATTCCACATATCCTATCTGTCACAAAGGACCTAAGTCATTCCTCAAACAAGGCATTCACTTTCAACATTCCTTGAATTCCTCATTCCTATTTTTCTGGTACCTTTAAACCTATATCCTTCCCATACTGTATGCAGCCAAGTAAATGCAATGTTCTGTAAAGTCTGCCCTAACACTTCCCTAGAAAAGTATAAAGTATAATGCTGATATTCTTGTTTTTGATTTTTCAACAATTTCAACATCTGGTGAGTCCCATGATAACTTCACATAGCACAGGGAAATGCTTCTTTGGTGTACGTTTGAATTGTTTATGGGCTTGCCTCCTCTGCAAGACTAGGAATTACTCTAGAGCAAGGACATGTTGATGATGATCTTTATATTTCCAATGCCTAATCCACAGTGGGATCTCAATCAATGTTAGGTGAGTGAACAGATATGTAGAATTAAGTCAAATTTCCCAAAATTAAAAAATGGATAAATAAACACACAGAACTAAAGTTGGGAAGTCCGAGAGCATGAAGAAGTCCCTTGGGAAAAGGAGGAAAATGTCCCATAAAATATATTTTTAATAGCTCAGACTTTTTTTTTTTAATTTCTTTTCAGCATAACAAATTCATTGTTTATGCACCACACCCAGTGCTCCACGCAATACGTGCCCTCCCTAATGCCCACCACCTGGCCCAGGCATTTTTTAAAGTTATAGAGCTCCTTTGGACCTCTCTGTCTGCAAATACTTCACATCTATCATCATTTTTCCTTAGATCCATTAGTCAACGCAGCTTAACAAAGGTGATTCAGAGGTGGGCTTAAGTAAGCATACAACACATGCTTAAATAATGAGAAACCACGGACCTACTAGCCTACTTTAAGTATTCGGATGACACAACAGATTCTGTAATTTTCTTTGTATCAAAAATGGAAACATAAAAGTTGGGCATTAACAGTCTACATTTCTAGGACTTTCCAAGTACCTTTTAATTACAACACAACACCGTCTCCTGCAAGCATCATCTCTTGACACATAATTTTTTTTTATATATTTTAAGTGTGTGATTATTGTTCTCACAGCCCATAATTATGTTAACCAATAAATACGAACACATCTAATTCAGTTCCACCAGAGTGAAGGTAATTCAGAAAAATTCGATGTATCTCCCAATTAACCCTTACTTTCCTGAGTCTGAATAATAAAAAAAAAAAAAGTTAGAAAGGATCACTCTTTACATTCTGAATGGAATAGGCATATTGAAACTAGATTTTCTCCTAATCCTCAACTTCTTCTATTTAAGGGTCACCATTATTAGCTGCTTTAACCTTCTAAATGTTTTATTTTTTTATGAGAAGCCATTCTTAAGGGATACTGTTACTCATATGATTAATTTCATAGTTTTGTCTTTGACTAAAACAAAACACAACAAAACGAAACAAACATCAAACACAAAACCAAAACAAAACAAAACAAAAAAGTCCTGGCATCCTCAATCTTGTTCTAGAACTTATAACCAAACACACACTACAGTCAAGGTCCCGCTGGGCCCATACTATCATCATATGTCCTGAGACATGTCACTTACCTGCCACATCTTTTGTTTCCTCAGCCACGAACTAAGCACACCCTCTGTGTCTTAGAGTTGAAGCATCTGTATCTTACTCAAGCAAGAACATATGTGAAAGCGCTACAAACAGTAAAGTACTGTCCAAACATCAGGGATTATGAGTTTGCATGCACAGTAAGATGGCTCAAACAAAAAGGTAGCTGCTAACTAACCCATTAAAATGTAGCGATTTATGGGAGGCATGCATAGACACAGTCTGAAAGAATGAAACCTATATTAAGCAAAAACCTCTAAGCAAAACATCCCCAGTATATATCAGGGTATAAGAATTTAGGAGATAAAAAACAACAACAACAACAAAGACTAAAGAAAAGCCCTATTACAGAAAGGTAGGTCAGTGAGGTGGGGAATAGAGTTATTTAAGCACAAGACAGGTGAATCCCGCTGTAAAGTCCGTGGTCTCACTATCCCGAGAAACTGGACTTGAGGTATATGTTGGGTGGAATAGGAAAAACGTTTAACATCAAACAATGGCCAGGGACGACGAAGGAAGTAAGGCTTGTTGAAGAATCATTCTCAGACTTGGGCTCATCCTCCTGGATCTTTCCAGAGTTGGTCTCATTTCTATGTTTTTGCTTTTGTTTTTTTCTAGAATGAATTTTAAATGTCCCCCTGTTTGAGAACCTTCAAATATTCCCCATTATCTTTAGAAGCAACAGGCCAGGATATTAATCCGGCCTTCAACCGTGTCCACGGGCTCTCAACAGGGAAACTTCTGGTCCTAGAGCCCACCTTCGGTGGCGCCCTCTGCAGCCACCCAGTCGCTTACAGTGCCCTGAAGGCACCTGGACCTTCCTGCTTTCCAGCTCAAGCTGTTCTCCCTTCTGGCCCCCAACACGGCACCCTGCTGCTGAACATGCAGGTTCTCTGATAAACCTTCTCAGAGTCTGCCACGTTCATGAGCTTCCACCATATCTGCCAGAGTAGGACTTCTAAAATCATGGGCCCTTGGAAGATTGCAGCTTGGTTCTTTTTCCTCCTTTTTTCTGACTCACTTTCCTTCTCCAAACAGTTCCCCCCAAAGACCAGAGTGCCTGCTCCACATCTGCTGCTCAGGGCATGTTAACAGAAATGAAATGCTCTTCCACCGACAGACCTGTTAGAGCCAAGACAGCTGAGGAACCACCAGGCTCCGGTGTTTTGCCTTGTCCCCACAGGGTGGACAGCCCCATGATGTGTCTAGAAAAGGTAATGGGAATATGTCTAATGAGGAGAGGACTGCCATCTTCTCTGTGGAAATGACTGACAGAGAAGAGGCCAGATCGGCCTTTAGCTCATGAAAGAATCCTTGTGAATACAGGAGCTTTTGTCCAAGAACCAGAGCGAGCTTCAGAGTGCCACACGCACTGTCACGTATCAAGCAGGCTTTAGAGTGCCATACGCACTGTCACATACGAAGCAAACATTACACGAGTAAACAGTGACGACAGTGCCAGTCTCATGTTTGCACCTAGAACTCTGCTCGCTGTCTTCTGAGGACTCAGAAGCCCTTGAAGAGATCTACCATGGCCGTCTCGAGACCCGAGAGAGACACAATGATCCACAATGGTGGAAGATCAGCTTCTGTGATGTAGGTAGTAAACTGAGGAGCCGAGAAAGAGCAGAGCCCCAAAGGGAGCAAAGAAATGCACAGAAGAACTAATGACAAGGCTCCGTTTGCACTGAAAATACAGATTCTAATTGCTATGACTAATTTTGATGAGATGGAGGAGAAATATGTATTTCCAAAGTGTTGATGCCCGTAGAAGCCATTCACAACCTTTCGAAAGAAAAGTAAGTGGTCATGCTCCTCAATGTAGAAATCCCACCATGAGGAGTCTGAGACAGGGAAAGAACTCCAGAGAAAATGGACATGAACATGTCCCTCAGAGCATTACTTACAAGAACCCCCCCAATATAGAAGCCACCTCAAAACCCAACATAAAGGGTTTCTTTACGGAAGACAGAGCCCTCACCATAACTTGAACCTAGACATGCTAAACCGTATCTGTGAACACTATACCAACATATAACAAAATACCCCTCCTAGGGAAAGCCAGAAAGAGGACAGGGCAACAAAATAAGAGAAGGTGTAATTTTCACAACATTTTTGTGTAATGTTCTTGCATTCCTTTAAAAAAAAAAAAACCTTGTAAATTCAATTGAAGAAGTTTCTGTCAACGAACATACGTTGATACTTAAAAAAAAAAAAAAAGACAAAGTAGAACACTAATTCTGAGAAGATCACACAGGAATGGAAGGGCAACAAGACAAAGCCTGTTCTCTCAGGTCGTTGTGGACTCTGGGTGGCCTGCAGTGCGGACTTGTTTACAGAAGGCTCTTACCTGTGGGGGCCGAGGCTTGTAGGGCGAGCTGCACTCAAGGTCGGCCAAGATGCTAGTCAGCGAGTCTATCTCGGCATCCAGGCTCGAACGCCTCTCCTCAAGGGTCTTGCCTCCAGGATTTCCCTGCTGGAAGCAACAGAGACACGTTACCCAAAAAACATCTCCAGCGTCTAGGGATATCAGTCTGCATGCAAATCTCTTGAATTACAGTGTGTCTTTGTCCAAGCTTTTTTGCACTTTGTTTATTTTAGCTTTTACAAAATCTGAAGTAGAATTATCCTGTTTTGACAAATAAGAAAACTGGAAGATATGAAGTGATTTGCCTAAAATCACACCCATTAGAGGCTTTTGTGTGTGTGAGAGAGTTTACAAGTAAAAGGAAATAAACGTCTCTACCCCGTGCTGAAGGAGCAGATTCAACTGGGGGGGTTATTACAAGTTCTTCGTATTCAGAAACCATCACACAGAATGACAACATTTGAGTTGGAGCAGGACAGGGCACAGGCGAGAGACGGATGATCTAGGAAGAGAAATCGCCTAAGTGTGGATACTAGATGTGTCTGTGATAGAGACGCAGTGCACTCTATGCAATGCACTTTCAAAGGGCCCTAGAAAGGGTCTGCTCAGATTTCTGGCCAAGGGGCTGCGGACGAAGCATGTGGCAGTGGTCACCGATGATGCAGCTGGAGATCTATGGACCTCACCCATCAATACCCCGTGTTATCACAAGTACCAGTCTCCACCTACACTCAGAAGCACAGGAGGTGAGTGGAGGGCAAGACGCTGTCACAAGGACATTCCCAGGAATCCTGAACAGGCTTGGGGAAAACAAGCAAACAGTCTGCCTAGAGCTTAAGGCAAGGAAACAAAAACTGAGACGGTCCTTAGATCTGGAAGCAGGGTGAGTTAAAATAATATTTTAAGGTGACAAAGCATACCAATTGTGGACTGCATTGAGAGTGTCTCTTAGGACTCCATGAAGAAACCAAAGTGCTGGGTGCCTGGGAGGCTCAGTTGGTCAAACATCTGCCTTCAGCTCAGGTCATGATCCCAGGGTCCTGGGATCAAGTCCCAGATCAGGCTCCTTGCTCAGCAGGGAGCCTGCTTCTCAGTCTGCCTGCCATTCCCCCTGCTTGGGCGCGTGCTCACTCTCTCTCTCTCCATGACAAATAAAATAAAATCTATATATTTAAAAAAAAAAAAAAAAAGAAAGAAACCAAAGTGTATCTATAGCAAGACCCAATCAAAATGAAATGATGGGAAATTGCTATAATCTAATCAACTCTGTTGAACTGTCTAAGGCCGTTAAATATCAGGATAGGGTGTGAAAGAGTTTAGAAAAAGCATTGACCAAGAAACCAGAATATCCCCAGCAACAACAAAAAAATAGGGTACCCTGACAAGCTAACATTAAATATTATAATCCTCTAAGTAAATGTTAGTGAGTACACTGCATTGGGTAACAATAGCATAATAGTATTGCTTATTAATATCACTCACTCTTTTTCCTCTAGTAGCTTGCTCACCAACCCACCTTTACTGACTCCTGGAGCTTAACTTTAAGTCTCTGCAGAAACAGACCTAATAGGATCTGGTGTGTCTGTCAGTCTCTTGTGAATTTAGCTTACGTGAGTTCATCCCTCTGGACCTGATCTGTCCCAGACATACTGATAACATCAACATCTATGAAGTCATGGCCCAGCCCCATGGAGCCAAACGCAGACTGTTGACGATCCCAGAGGCAGTGGCATCCTTATTGGTGAGCCCTCAGTAAATAGAGGTAACGTTTATCCCATTATCTAACATAGCGTCCTCATCATTTTCTGGTTCTGAGTGTACTTCTATGACCCTAGTACAGCACTCTGACCCCTCACCCCGACTTGTGTATTTTTCTCATATCTATCATCTCATAATATCTATCTATTAGAATATCTATCATCTAACAGTATCTTTTATATGTATTTGGCTGTCTGTTGTTAGTCTGCTGAAGAGAACACACACTTCATGAAGACAGGATTTTGTCCATTTTGCTCCTTGCTGTTTCCCCAGAATCTTGCTCGGGTCCTAATCATGGAAGTGTTCAATAAATTCTTTAAGTAAATAAATGAATGGGTAGTGAGAGACTCTGCCACAGGTCATCAGCAACCTTTCTCATATCCACCATCTTTTGGGTGAACACGGCTAGAGCCACGACTGGGGCAGGGGCTACTCTTGTATATGGAATATACAATAGGTTCTAGAAAGCGAATCAAAATCCCAGGATACATGTGTGTGCACATCTGTGTGTGTCTTTACATCCCTGCTGTATATGGCCCAGATTTGTAGGTCGCCCTTGAGAAAAGGGATTTTCCATTGCTCGCTTGCCATAGCCAAAAATGGAAAACAGTAATAATAGCAGGTGGGTTATGTTTTCTCAAGGTCTGAATTTCCAGTTTGACCAAGCCCTACAAGGCCCATGGGTCTCTGTCCTAGGAAGATAAGATTTCAGAGTGTTAGTCCCTCAATCAGAGGTGATCTCACTTATCCCACTGAGCAGGAATAACTATGAAATATGGCACTATCATAAAGAATGAAGCCCCTTTAAAATTTAACATTCGTGTAAAGATCCTGGGGAATGGGTCCTGGCACAACATGAAAAGATGGGACATTAGCGTTTGGGAAGGCGACAGAGAACTACGTGAATCTGGTTCTTCTATTATGTATTTCCATAGCTTCACAGGCAGCATAATATATTGGTAGGGGTGGAGGACTGGTTAAATGCTTCTCTGGGCCATAGTTTCCTCCCCCTCACCTGCCCTACCTAAGGCAGAGGGATGTTACAAGATTCTGATAAGAAAATGGATGGGAAAATACTTTGTAAATTGGAAAGTGCTATAATTATGATCATTTTCTTAAATAGCACTAATTATAGTAACCAGTAACTATAAATTCATATGAATAATATAGCTATTGTTAATTATTCTTCTTAAAGGGAGCATCATTCATTAAGTGTCCCCTTGGGGTATCAGTGAAGAGACAGAATCAGGTCTTCAACATCTGTACTTTAACGGCAGTGGAAAGTACATCAATTGCCCATGCTCTAAGTACTGGGGTACCTAACAACAGAGACTCAAAAGTCGCAGAATCAGCCTGAACTATACAATGGAACAAGTAATTATAGTGCTTAGCGAGCCTGTACATGCAAGGCTCCAGTTGGTATCTAGCCTCCTTATCCTCTCTTCCCTCCAAGTTGGGACTACTTCCCAGTTTTAGGTCCTCCTAGGAGGTTGACATAATTCAACAAGCCCCAGCCTAGTGCTATGTGATTGTGCACGATGACCCCCAGCTCCTTGCTGCCCAGCCTGACCTTCCCTTAAGAGCTCTGCTGCCACATTTCAATCCCCATCATACATTAGAACAGGTCTCTTTCTCACAGCTGTGTCTCTGTTTTATGCCTCAGTTCAAACAATGGAAGTCCTGCCATTTCCTCCACCACTGTTCCTCTTGGTCGTCTCCTCTATGAAACCTGTAGAGGCAGGAACAGTCCTTCTACTCTCAACAATCTATATTACATCTCAGAGGCAACCGTCTTACAACCAACTCATAGAATGGTACATGCTTAGCAACATGTCTTCCTAACTTCCTATCACTGCAGCCTTACAATTAATTACCTGCTCAAGGCCCGGTAACACTAAAGAAGATTCCCCTGGCACTTGGCTTAAAACCCTTTTTCTAAGGATAAAGAAGATGTGGTATGTATATATACAATGGAATACAATGCAGCCATCAAAAGAAATGAAATCTTGCCATTTGCGACGACGTGGATGGAACTAGAGGATATTATGCTGAGTGAAATAAGTCAATCAGAGAAAGATAATTATCATACGATCTCCCTGATACGAGGAAGTTGAGAGGCAAAGTGGGGGACTTGGGGGTACAGAAGGAAAAAAAATGAAACAAGATGGGATCGGGAGGGAGACAAACCATAAGAGACTCCTAATCTCACGAAACAAACTGAGAGTTGTGGGGGAAGGGGGTAGGGAGAGGGCGGTTGGGTTATGGACATTGGGGAGGGTATGCGCTATGGTGAGTGCTTGTGATATGCTAATAAAAAATTAAAATTTAAAAAAAAAGAAAAAAAAAACAGCCCTTTTTCTAGATTCCGCATAACCTCCTGTGAAGGGGTCACTGTGATATTAACAGTCCTAATGCTCGTCAACCGTAACTGGAGACATTCTGGTGTCTTAGTCCAGGTTCTGCGAAAAAACAAGGACTGAGACAAAAGCTAGTGTGTAGGTCACTGGCTTGGGGAATGACACTCAGGAAACAGGACGGAAAGGCTGGAGGACTGAAGCAGGGGAGGAGGGAAGACCAATTCCAAGGTGCTGGAGTGAGCTGGCCGGTGCAGTGGGCAACTAGGGCTCCATGATCCTCAGGCTCCAGTTCCCCATGGGTTTAGGGCTGCCTATGGGTTATAAACTCTCCTGTTTGCATGCCAAGAAGTAGAACGGTGGCAGAAAACCGTCAGGGCAAAAAGTGAGAGATAGGTGTTGGAGCTGCTAGGTCATACCCATGCAGAGGTGGGCGCCGGAGCAGTGGCTGGGGTGTGCGGGTGGGAGGAGAGAACCCGAGGCTGGATATCAATGGGGTCCAGTGACGGTGTCTGCTCACTCGCTAACAGCTCTAAAACCCCCATGAGTTAGCCATCCATAGGATATTATTTTCTATAAGGTATTTATTTTCATTCATTCAATAAAAATGTCTGTGACAAAACTCACCAAACCACAACTGGGGTTTATTATAACTTGGAAAATCGTAATTCTTCATGCCACTAGCAGAATTATAGGGTGATGACTTTCCCAGTGCAAACATGTAAGAACAGACTTGAAAGCAGAGCCAGGAACCAAAGTGTATAGCATGGAAGCCTATTACCAAGAGTCCGACTTGAAATGGGTAACGTTTTTGCCCACACACTGCTTATCCATGATAGGCAAGGAGTGACCGCATTGAGTTAGGAAAGAGTATTCACTTGTATTTACTCATTCTTTATATCCAAAGGTCTTTACTTAAAAAAAAAAAAAAACAAAAACTCACAGGGAAGTTGAATTCCACCCACATGCATACCTTTCCCATAGGTCATTAATAAC